TCAGCCTCAGCCTCAGCCTGCTTCAGCCTCAGCCTCAGTCTGCCGTCGGCCTCGGCCTCAGCCTCAGCCTGCCTCACCCTCAGCCTGCATCAGCCTCAGCCTCAGCCACAGCCTGCCTCAGCATCAGCCTGCCTCAGCCTCAGCCTCAGCCTGCCTCAGCCTCAGCCTCAGCCTCAGCCTGCTTCAGCCTCAGCCTCAGTCTGCCTTCAGCCTCGGCCTCAGCCTCAGCCTGCCTCAGCCTCAGCCTGCATCAGCATCAGCCTCAGCCTCAGCATGCCTCAGCATCAGCCTGCCTCAGCCTCAGCCTCAGCCTGCCTCAGCCTCAGCGTCAGCCTGCTTCAGCCTCAGCCTCAGTCGGCCTTCAGCCTCGGCCTCAGCCTCAGGCTGCCTCAGCCTCAGCCTGCATCAGCCTCAGCCTCAGCCTCAGCCTGCCTCAGCATCAGCATCAGCCTGCCTCAGCCTCAGCCTCAGCCTGCCTCAGCCTCAGCCTCAGCCTGCTTCAGCCTCAGCCTCAGTCTGCCTTCAGCCTCGGCCTCGGCCTCAGCTCAGCCTGCCTCAGCCTCAGCATCAGCCTGCCTCAGCATTCAAAATGTGGCCCGGGAATGGAGTTCTGGGAACTCGAAGAACACGAAGTGGCCTACAGTTGGCTCCAGGCATTCAAAACCATGCCCAGGAATGGAGTCCTGGGAACTCGAAGACCACGAAGTGGCCTACAGTTGGCTCCGGGCATTCAAAATGTGGCCCGGGAATGGAGTTCTGGGAACTCGACTGAACTCTCCAGCCTCCTGAGAAGACTTCGAAACCACGGGCGGCCTCTCAGAAGACCCGAGGGCGTCGGAGAAGCCCCGCCGCCCTCTGAGAAGGCCGGCTACCTCTCATTGCCCCCCTCGGCACGCTGCCGGTGTATGTCCCGCCTTCCATTGCCATTACGATTGCCCGTTCCCAGAACTAGTGTGCACAGGACACGAGTCGGCGCGTGCTGGAGGGCGGCGGGGAGGCACCGCACCCTTCAAACAATGTAAGAAGCAAGTTGTTCACAATGTTTCAATATTCGTGGATCCTCTGGGAATTGTCTCCCGCATTGTCTGGGGAATCCGCGAGATTCGGCGCAATGTTTTTCTGGGAAAGACGAAGCGAGGGTTGCCCAGAATTGCGCGCGCCCAGATTTCGCCCGAGTGTTGGCGGGCACTCTCCGTTCTCGCCTGTGCGCCGCGCGGTGGCCTGTTGTTCTGGGCGCTTGCCCGCGACCCGGAGGGCGAGCGGCGGCCCCCGAGCCGGCCGGCGTCGCGCGGCGGCCACGAGCGCATGTTTTCGGAGGCCTGGAAATTGGCACCAACACCAGGGCAGGGGGTTGCCTCCACAGGGGGAAGGTGATCCTAAATGTTCGGCGTTGGTGGTAATAGTTCGGCCACCTTGGAAGCCAGAAGTATTACCACCATCGCCGAGATCGGGATCGTCTTCCCTCGGTGGCGGCAAACCGCCGAAATGGGTGTTCGTGTCCATCTCTAGGCCTGCGATGTTTTTCAGCGGAGCACGCATGGTGGAACAGAGCGGCAGTGGCAGGTTGCACAAAAGGCGGAGCTGCCAAGCCAGCTGCCCTCGGCAGTGTCCACCCATACCCGACCGTGCTCCAGCAGCTGGTGGTCTCTTCCTCGGCGAGCACAGCCCTGGCAGCAGTAGCCCTGCGTGGCGCAGGTCGAGCAGCGGCTGGCGCATGCCACTGCGAAGCTGGCCGCAGCGTCGAAGGCAAGCAACACGCACTCGGACACTACACCGCCGTGACGAAAGATAATGCGGTTTTATGATATGTTGGAATCTCCGATCCCTCTGAAGATTCCTAACATTGACATGCGTCCTCCGCGATCCCGCGGAGTAATTCGTCTACCTCTAACTAATAACATTGATATCTCAAAACAGGATCGGAAATTACCCCGCCCATTCCTATATGAAAAATGGGACGGGATGCATGTCCACGCGGAGTAATTTCTACTCCGCCCACTCCGTTTACTCCGCCAGTCTTGAGTCATGATGAATGAAGACCGCATAATACTTTTGTCACGGCAATGTATGGACATCGACGCTGGCCAGCGACCCGCAAGTTCTCTCGGCGAGGAGGCGTCCACTGTGCCGAAGTGCGCTCAGTGAATCGCCCCGCGATGGGAAAAATCCAGTGGCCATACAAGCGGTCGCACCCGGCACCAGGCAGTGCGTCAGATAAGATGCCACCGAGACCCGGAGAGGAGGGACGAGGAGACGGGGAGGGGAACCAAAGGAAGGAGGAGGAGAGGAAGAGGAGGGGCAGGGCAGGCAGGCAGAAGCACTGAGCGCGCTGCAGTGGCAGCCGGCAGCCATGTGTTCCCCTTGCCGCCACGCCGAGCGCATGAAACATGTGGGCCACTCGAGGATACCAGCACAGGACTGCACGCTCCGGCATCCGCAACAGGAAGAAAATAACGGGGGGAGGAGGATGAGCGGGAACGCGGGCGGACAAACGCCAAGCGCCCAAAGCTAGACAGGCGGTCCCACGAAAGTGGCCGAGATTCCCCTGGCCAACGTTCGGGCGCCCCGGGTATTCAGGTGAATGCTGCAAAGCTTCTTTTTCCTTCCTATCTCCATAGCGGACCGGCGGCAATGAAGGGTTAATAACGTAACGCGATGCCAGACGCAAATCGAGAACGTCCGCGCGTATTCGACTGAGTCCGCATCCCCTCATGGGGGCACTCCCATCACCGAGGCAGGCGCTGAAGCAGCAATGGGCGGCAGGGTAGACGTCACCACATGCAAGGGGGAAGAGGAGGAAGAGGCAAGAGGGAGGGGAAACGAGGAAAAAGGAGGAGCAGAGGAGGCGTGAAACAATGTGTTTCGTGAGTGACCACGAAAACAGCTGCAAAGCAGCTCCGCGAGGAAGAACGGGAGGGGAGAGCAGGGAGGAGGCAGCAGGGGAGGGGGCGGGACAGAGGTCAACAAACGTATGATGTAATCCACTTCATAGGCAGCCCCAACCAGCGATCGCTGGATGCTCGCTGAGTAGCAGCGGCCCGCACTGCTGCAGTGTCCTGCTCCTGCGTACGCACATCAAAAAACATGCAGGACGTTGGCCCTCCCCTGCCCAGGGGGTAGCAGACCGAGCACCAGTCCATAGCAAGGCCCTGTCCAGGAGCAGCAAGCGTGATCACCACCATTCCAGAGAGAGGCCCTGCTCAGGGACAGTAGCATTAAGTCGGGCGTGTCCCCCTACAGACCGATTTTGGGCGAACAATAAGAAATACCCTAAAACAGATTCCCAAATGGACAAAAAAAAGCTATAACAAATCGTCCCCCGACTATTTTTTGACTATCTTTGAATATTCCTCCTGTAGAGGGACAGGCCCGACTTAACAGTAGCGCTAAGGTCACCATCACGCCGTCGCCGGCTCCGCCAACCGAGCACCGTCAATCCTGAACCAGTCCCGTACCGGGGCGCTAAAAATGATCACCATCATGCCAACACATGTGAAGGGGCCCTGGGACACACAAATAAATACACACAAATAACAGGATCCCCCATATTTCCCCATATTTTCTGGGTTTCTGTCTTCCCCCCCACTTCCCATATTTTCCCATATTTTCTGGGGAGTCGAGGATTAATTGTGTCTGTGTGTTTCTTTTCCTCCTGATCAGGGGCAGTCACGCAATGACGGCGGCTCGCGCCAACTGGTGTGACGGGCGGCTCGCGCCCGCCGGTGCGACGGGCGGCTCGCGCTGGCGTCGTGCTGCCCACGATTGTGCTACTGGAGTCCGTCGTGCTGCCCACGATGGTGCTGTTGGACCAGATTCGCCAGAATGGTGAGTCTGGCAATGTGGCATGTCCTGGCATGCGTGCGGCGGATCCTTCTCTCTCTCTCTCACTCTCTGTGTTTGTTGTGCTGACTGTTGTCTTCAATGCCACACCCAAACTCTCCATCGAAATCGAATCACATGCGGCACATGATAAGACCATCACTGCTTCATCAATCAAGCGAGAAACTTACTGTATCGAAAAAACCTCAAGAATGTCGCTCCTTTTTTCTTCCTCCTCCTCCTCGAGTGGCCAATGCAGAAACAGATTGCCAAGAACGCCGCTAGTAAGGTCGTGCACACTTGGAGTAAGGCCGGGTTTCCTCGATCGCTTCAAGGCGGCGGCTAGGAGGAGGAGGAGGAGGAGAAGGAGGAGGAGGAGGAGGAGGAGGAGGAGGAGAAAGAGGAGGAGGAGGAGGAGGAGGAGGAAGGTGGAGGAGGAGGAGGAGGAATGGGAGGGATGGGAGGATGGGAGGAGGAGGAGGAGCAGCAGAGAGAGGGGAAGAGGCGGCGGCGGCGGAGGAGGAGGTGGCCGAGACGGCCCCCTCCCGTCCCCCTCCGCATCCTGCGCTCGCCCTCCTCGCTCTTCCCTCCTCGCCCCCCCCTGCCCGCCCGCCCCCCCCCCCTGGGGCACGCGGGCGGCGGCCGGGCGGCGCATCTCCGGCCTCACGCGCGCGGGGGTTCTATACGTAGCGCAGGCGCATATGCAGGGGCGGCGGGGCGGCAGATCGCTGCCGAAGCCCCCCTCTCGAGCCGGAGCGGCGGCGAGCCCGCGCGTGGACGTGGGAGCCCTCCTCCTCCCCCTCCTCCTTCCCCCTCCTCCTCCTCTCCGCCTCCTCCTCCCTTCTCCTCCGCCGCCGCCTCATCCCTCCTCCCTATCCTCCTCCTCCTCCTCTCCTCTCCTCCTTCATCCTCTCCTTCATCCTTCGTCCCGTCTCCTCCTACTCCTCCTCCTCCTCTTCCTCCTCCTCCTCCTCCTCCTCCTCCTCCTCCTCCTCCTCCTCCTCTACCTTCCATCCTCCTCCCGCTTCGGTAGAGGGAAACACTTAGTGAACACCACCCCTGCCCCCCAAACTCAAAGTTGGCGCGCGGGGGGGGAGACTGCGGTCGAGGTGCAACTCATCAGACCCACCGCCAACTTTGAACATTGGGGGAAGGGGGAAGCGTTCACAGATGAACGTGGCATGAGTGTTCGCTAATCTTTTCCGAGGCCTGCATGGCGGATCCTGGAGACCCCGAACCCAAGCAAACTGTCACCTCGTGGGGGCGCAGATTTTTTACTTCCGGGGACCTTCCGCCGCCTTTTCCGCCGAGGGAGGAGATGGCAACGCCTTCGATCCGCGAAGGCAAAAGGCCGTTTGCGGAGCGCCTCACGCATCGGAAGGAGGGGGCCGAACGGTCATTCCACTGTCCTTGGGCGCGTGGCTGAAAGGGGTTCCGCGGTGCGGATTGTTGCGTTGTTGTTGGTTGTTGTTGTTGTTGTTGTTGTTGTTGTTGTTGTTGTTGTTGTTGTTGTTGTTGTTGTTGTTGTTGTTGTTGTTGTTGTTGTTGTTGTTGTTGTTGTTATTGTTGTTGTTGTTGTTGTTGTTGTTGTTGTTGCGTTGTTGGTGTCGTCGTCCTCGCCCGCGACTCGCCCTCGACCCACCCAGCGCGACCCATCCACGTTGCTTTGACGAAGATTCTGCGCCTGTGGCGGGCTCGTTTAGCGATGTGGCAAGCCTAGTGTTGCCACGAACCCCCTTTGAGGACAAGTGGGCGTGACTTGCGAGAAAGAGAAAAACAAACAAGAGGATGCCTATAGGGCGCATAATGCTGATTGCCGGTTTGTCCGTTTGACGCTGTGCCGCTTCAAGACGCACTATGCCGGCTCCCGTGTTGTCCGTTTGACGCTGTGCCACTTTGTCGGGGCGTCTCCGACCATCTTGGAGCCCTGCTGGGCAGTCTTCGGGCCCTCCGGCGTCTCCGACCCTCTTGGGCAGTCCTGGGGCCCTCTTGGGGACCTCTGGGGGTTTCCTGGGGACCTCTTGGAGGCTTCTTGGGGCCTCTTGGGGCCTCTTGGGTTTTTTAGGGGGGAGCGCAGAGCCCAAAATGTCGGTCCCTGCCCCCCCCCCGCTGGGGCCCCTCTCGGGGCGCTCCTGCGGCCCTCTTGGGCCGTCTTGGAGGCCTCATATAGGCCGTCCTGGGGCCGTCTTTGGGGCGTGGCGGGCCGTCTGGGCGCTCCCTTGGGAGCCTCTTATAGGCCGTTTTGGGGGCGATCTTTTGGGCCTCTCGGGCCGTCTTGGAGCGTCGGGAGGCCGATAGAGCGAAAACGCGAAAAGACATCCAAAGCCGGAGGAAAACACATGACTTCTGACTCTTGGGGCGCTCTGGGGGGCCCTTGGGAGCCTCTTGGAGGCCTCTCGGAAGCTTCTGGGAACATCCTGAAGCCATCTAGGGCGTATTGGACCGATCATTCTGCGACTCATAGGCCCCTTCGACCATGTTGCGGGCCAGCTTGGGGCCGTCCGGGCCGCCCGGAAACGCGTCTGCCGAAATGGAGCCGGCAACGGCCGTCTTCCGCCAACTTCCGCCGACGTTCCGCCCGTGGCCGGTGCCATGTCCCGGAGGGTCCCCCTCCCAAACCCCCCACGGGAACACCAAACGGGAACCCCTCCGCAAGGTCGGGGAAAAATCGGCGCCTGCGGCGGGCTTCTTCAGAGCCTCGCAGACTGCTGGCGACCCCCCCGCCCCCTCACTCTTGTCCTCAACTGAAAGGTGCTAGTTAAATATACATAGAGAAAAAGACATAGTGCGAGAAGGGAGAGAGAGAGAGGGAGAGAGAGAGAAAGGAAACAAAAAGCACGATGGAATCCAACGCGACATTGGGAGAGACAGCAGCAGACAGCACAGGACGGCTGGCG